CGTAATAACTTCGTCTAGGACAAAGCCTGGTACCAATTGAGCGACCTCGGAAGCAGGGTCGGTCGGTCCTATCGTTGGTACTTTTTGCAAAATTTTTACGACCCCCTCCTTCACGAGAAGTTTCATACGACCCCCTCTTCACAACTACTTTTTCCCTCAAAAAACACCGTCGAGCGGGGGGGGGGGGGTATATACCTACCATGAAACCGCAAAATTTCCTATATTTCCCTTCATTTTCCCCCATTTCCCTATATATTTCACCTATATTTCCATCGCTATATATTCTAAAAGGGGGAGGGGGTATATACGCACGCTGAAACGGCAAATTTTCTCCAGCGCGCTCTCATCTCATCACATGTTTCGTGCTACCTACGACCCCCCTCCAAGTCCATCCAAGTACGACCCCCCCGTTGCTACTTGTAGCAACGTAGGGTTGACCCTGCCTCGAAGGCATGGGGCTTGGTCATCCTGAACGATACATTATTCAAGACTTGACCTCTTGATCGCGGGCGTGGTAGTCAGCGCCATCAGCCACTAAACCAATTCCCCCTCAGTTTCCATTATATCCGAAAATAGCATGCTTTAGAAATAAAAATTCACGAAAGAGAATCCAAAAGTCTTGAGAGAGAAAACCTCGAGGTGTTGCCCGGTGTGAAAAAACCTGGTCTCACTCCCTGCCGGAAAAGTGTCACTCCGTCTCGAGCGACATGGTGACCAATGTGTTGATGTCATTAGGGAGGATTGGGTAGTTGAAAAGTTCACTGGTAAGCTCCATGCTACTGAATAATTCGGATTTTCCAATGTGTAATTTGGAAAATTATTTCAAATAACTTTTATAGCAATGATTCCTCGGAAAAATCGTCGAGAAAGAACAACATTCAATCGCCAACAATTGGAAGTTCTTGAAACGCTGTTTGAAGCTACACAATATCCAGACGTATTCACTCGTGAAAAGGTAGCTGAACAAATTCAGCTCCAAGAAAGTCGCATACAGGTACAGGTGTTTTTTATATTGTTATCGGGTCCCGGACAGGAGGCCCGTCGCGCGGCGGGAAGGAAATGATGCAAACCAGTCAGCGGGCGAGTCGCAGCGCGTACTGTACTGATTTGGCGTTGGGTTAAACAGCATGTGCTATAGTATGTGTCACATCACACAGCATGGCTCATCCGCTAATCCGTTTGCGTCTCTGCCTTCTTGCCGCGCGTTCCTTTCGGCATCCTGTCGGGTACCCACTGCTATCAATTTCAAATAAACTGCAGTATGGTAACAGGATCAAATGTTTTAGGTTTGGTTCAAAAATAGGCGAGCGAAGCACAGGCAGCAGAAAAAACAAAAACCGAGTACCGAAAAAAATGAACGGCTAGGTTCGTATTTTTCCTTCTTCGGAAGATTACTTAATTAGGATTGCATTTTTATTTTCAGCAATCCCATCTACAGTAAAAGAAGACGCAGGCTATGCCACCCAAAGCAGTGAGCCAGAACGAGGGTGAGGAAATAAGCTAATAACCTTTAAAGGTTAAATCTCCTTGGATGAGACCAAAAGATTTCCTTAGTCAGATACATTTACATTGTTACCCGTTACATTGTACATATACTATTTCTCCTCCTCAGGTCAGGTCACCTCAGATTTCAAGTTTGATTTGCATAAGTAAGTCCAAGCCATTGCCTAGGCTCAAAGCAACCACCTAAGATCAAATTTTTATGGTAGCACCGATCGATAATGAATTGTTGATGCGGAGTTGACTGGAGACGACAAAAGGAGCAAAACAATCTAGTGATGAAACCCTTAACCAAGACTCTCTCTCTCTTTCCCTTTAGAATGAGGAAGGGGCGGAGCCGGACGAATTTTCTGACCCCCTACTCCACGGCTCCACTAACCCGCGCGTATTTGAATTAGCCGCTACGCCGTAATCCACGTTGCGTGTCATGAGGTGTGCGCGAGGTAACTCGTCCATAAGTTCGATTAGTCGCCATCAGATCACTTTGTAAGACCCTAGCGCCATTGTCGCGCATTTCGAGCCGCAACAACGGCACATCTGTGATACTCGTGGCTACTCTATCCCACCCACAGAATGGATTCCTTGATATGACTTCTGGGGTTAATTCAGGAGTTGAACAGACGCGTGTTTGTTGTTGGTAAAGCTTCTGCCTTCATATTGGTGATGAGTTTTGACGTCTTAAATGTTTTTGACAGGCAAATGAAACGCGCGAATGCATTTGAATAAGGCTTGATTTTTGCAATTTTGCGTAGC